CAGGAGAATTGCCTGAACCCGGGAGATAGAAGTTGCAATGAGAGTTATCACGCCACTGCACTCCAGCCTGGGCAACGGAGCCAGACTCCATCTCAAAAAACAAAAAAACTCAACCATTTGAAATCCCTCAAGTTTACCGTAAGAAAGACTCCCTATAGAGACCAAGCTGTTTCCCAGCCCAGGACATATAATAAGAGATCCTTTATTCAGGACAGGTATTCCCTATGTACCTCTGCAACAATCCTGCGTGAGCTGCACATGTACCCCAGAACTTAAAGTATAATAATAATTTTTTAAAAAAGCCAGGTATTCCCGTATTAGGTAAAGCAGTCCAGCAACTTCCCAGGAAAACATAAAGCCTTAAGTTAGTCGAAATGTGAAACATCTGAAGTTTAACTCTCTGGCTTATAAATAGCTTTGCCTGTTCTGGTAAGCAAAGAGAATTACTCTTCATGAATAGAATCCTGATCTATTTCGGAGTTCCAACTACATGTCTTTTATTTTAGCCCCAATCTTTTCTGTTTTTTTGAGACAGGGTTTCACTCTATCACCCAGGATGGAGTGCAGTAGTATGATCACAGCTCACTGTAGCCTCGACCTTCCCAACTCAGCCTCCCAAGCAGCAGGGCCTACACGTAGGCACCACCACACTCAGCTAATTTTTGTATTTTTTTAAACAGAGATGGGGTTTCACCATGTTGCCCAGGTTGGTCTTGAACTCCTGGCCTCAAGCAATCCACTGGCCTCAGCCTCCCAAAGTGCTGGAATTACAGGGGTGAGCCACCCCACCCAGCCTTAAATGTTTTTGTAGAGACTAAGTCTCACTATGTTGCCCAGGCTAGTCTCAAACTTCAGGGCTGAAGCAATCCTCTCACCTTGGCCTCACAAAGTGTTAGGATTACAGGCATGAGCCACTATGCCTAGCCTTATTTTAGCTTCTTGGCTGCTATAAGGGAAACAGAACTTTGTCAGTATGACATGCAAGAAAATTGAAATCCATTTCTTTTCTCTCTAGAGACACTAAAACTAAGGAACTAAAACATGTAGCCATTTAAAATGCTGCAATTGTGAAGTCCAACGTCTTAAAAGCTCCTCTCATTTTGCCCCCAGTGGGACTGTGACAATTTAGTAGCAGCAGGACACATTTTAAGCCAAGATGTAAGGAAGGAAGGACTCCTTGCTGAACCTCACAAAAACAACCCAAGAGACCCATTACCTCTTGTATCCCTAAATGAACTGGTAGTAGGACTGTAACGAGAGAGGCAGGAACTTGGCCAAAGAACTCTAACCAAGCCAGATAGTAAAAGGGCATTTGTAATGGACGTTCCTATCACTGCCCTCTGCTATAAGGAATCCAGGAAACATGAAAAACATAAAATCACCTCCCTCCAAAGCTTCTAAATCTCTGCCCTATTTTCAGCACTGGAAAATCATATATAAACAAGGCTTTTTCATACTAACAGAGCCTAATGTTTACTTTTATTTTTTTTCTCAAGACAGAATTTTGCTCTTGTTGCTCAGGCTTGAGTCCAATGGCACAATCTTGGCTCACAGCAACCTCCACCTCCTGGGTTCAGACTATTCTCCCTCCTTAGCCTCCTGAGTAGCTGGGATTACTTACAGGCATGCACCACTATGTCCGGCTAATTTTTACATTTTTAGTAGAGATGGGGTTTCACTGTGTTGGTAAGACTGGTCACAAACTCCTGACCTCAAGTGATCCACCTGCCCTGGCCTCCCAAAGTGCTGGGATTACAGGCGTGAGCCACTGTGCCCAGCCCCTAATGTTTATTCTTCTAAGGATGTCTGATATGGAAAAAAGTTAAATTGATTTTGTTTATTTCATTTATTTTCCTTTTGATTTGTGCACAGAAGCGACATATAATAAATGTTTATGTCAAAAAAAGTGCTATATATGAGAAATACAAAAGTCTGCTAAGAATGCTTTTTTAATTTTTCTTTTTTTGAGATGGAGTTTTGCTCTTGTTGCCCAGGATGGAGTGCAATGATCTCCACTCAGGCATGCACCACCACACCCAGCTGATTTTTATATTTTTAGTAGAGATGGGGTTTCACCGTATTTTTTTTTTTTTTTTTTTTTTTTTTTTGAGACGGAGTTTCGCTCTTGTTGCCCAGGCTGGAGTGCAATGGCGCGATCTCGGCTCACCGCAACCTCCACCTCCTGGGCTCAGGCAATTCTCCTGCCTCAGCCTCCTGAGTAGCTGGGATTACAGGCACACGCCACCATGCCCAGCTAATTTTTGTATTTTTAGTAGAGACGGGGTTTCACCATGTTGACCAGGATGGTCTCGATCTCTCGACCTCGTGATCCACCCGCCTCGGCCTCCCAAAGTGCTGGGATTACAGGCTTGAGCCACCGCGCCCAGCGGGGTTTCACCATATTAATCAGACTGGTCTCAAACGCCTGACCTTAGGTGATCCACTCACCTCGGCCTCCCAAAGTGCTGGGATTACAGGTGTGAGCCACCAGGCCCAGGCTTTTTTCAATTAAAAAAATTTTTTCTCTCTCACTATTTGAACTACAGGAACGATGCATGTGGTCATAGTTTAATTTACAGTTATATTTTCTTAGTGACAGATCAAATAATTTGCATTCTGCAATAAATGATGTGAGATGGAATCTCATTCTGTTACCCAGGTGGGAGTGCAATGGCGTGATCTCGGTTCACTGCAACCTCTACCTCCAGAGTTTAAGTGATTCTCTTGCCTCAGCCTCTGGTGTAACTGGAATTAAAGGAGCACATCACTACACCTGGCTAATTTTTGTATTCTTAGTAGAGATAGGGTTTTGCCATGTTGGCCACGCTAGTCTCAAACTCCTGACCTCAGGTGACCTACCACCTCAGCCTCCCAAAGTGCTGGGATTACAGGCGTGAACTACTGTGCCTGGCCTAATGACATCTTAAATTCCATCAAATAAGGTAGTTACTAAACTACCTTAAGTAATAAGGTAGTTTACCTTACTTATTTTATTGTACTGCTACCAAATACTATGTTTTGTGTGATGTGGTCATATTATAGCATAACCTATTTTATATAATATGTCTTCAGGTTCATTTACTCCAATTTTATGATAGAATATCCTCTCAGGCTGTGATTGAAGAAATTTATTTGCTTTAGATAGGAGGCTTTGAAATGAAGTCCAAAATAGGGACACTCTGCATCAGAGATTTACAGTGAGCACGATGAGTTTTTAAAGTTACCTATGGCCAAGTCCCCACTTATAATATAAAGAACCACTGAACTCTTTACAAATACAAGTAAACCTCTACAATTAATTTAGGCTCTGTCTTCACTGGGCAGAGTTTTGTCTCCCATTTTGCAACTCTTTAATGATGTATAAGGGTTGATGATGCTTAACTTGAAATATCTAGAAAGAAGTAGGAACCTGAAAACTCAAAATTAAGAACAGAGACTAGCGCCGGGCGCGGTGGCTCAAGCCTGTAATCCCAGCACTTTGGGAGGCCGAGGCGGGTGGATCACGAGGTCAAGAGATCGAGACCATCCTGGTCAACATGGTGAAACCCCGTCTCTACTAAAGGTGCAAAAAATTAGCTGGGCATGGTGGCGCGTGCCTGTAATCCCAGCTACTCAGGAGGCTGAGGCAGGAGAATTGCCTGAACCCAGGAGGCGGAGGTTGCGGTGAGCCGAGATCGCGCCATTGCACTCCAGCCTGGGTAACAAGAGTGAAACTCCGTCTCAAAAAAAAAAAAAAAAAAAAAAAAAAAGAACAGAGACTAGGCTCTGGTTTCCTGGCTTCTCTGATATCTCAGGGGCCTATTACACTTTGTCAGACCTCTCAGCTCCCAACAGATGGAGACATTGGCTGTGATAACAGTTTGATAACTATTCCTCAGGCTTGATAACTATTCACTGCACCTGAGTACCTCTTATACTTTTAACTTAATCAGATAGTAAAAACTTCAGAATACTGATTTCAGATCTCATGAACTCATTCTACACCACCACCTCAAATTACGCAGCCTGAAGACATAACAGGCTTGGTATGAAAGATATAAAGTATGTGGGAAGGAGACTTAGGGCACTGTAGTCATCCTGAACAAAAGCAGATTAACCTGCAGCTGATGAGAAAAGGGCTCCAAACTTCTAGAATCTTTTTGTCAATTCTGTTTTAGGACTAGAACAAGTATGACTACCCACAACTCTGTTCCAACCCCACTTCCAATAATCTGGCCTAACCGTTGCCAGAATCTAGAGTGTTCTCGAAAACCACTCACTCAGCAGCTCCCTTGGCTAGTCCGACTGGCAATCTCGAGCCACTGCGGCTGCTTCGGAGTGCCAACAGCGCTCAAGCAGCTGCCCTCTTCCTTGCTGCTTAAGAGCGAGCAGTGCTGGGAAGGATTAGGAAGGACAGGGGAAGAGGAGTCTCACGTGTAGAATATCAGATAAGCCCCTCGCTCTTCCTTTTTTCTTCATCATCTTTGACTTCTGGGATAACCAGGGGGCAATCAGGTCAATTATGGAGACACACTCACCTCAAACCCTAGACTAGTGATCGCTGGGGTACAATTACCAGGGAAAACGGGGTGAGGAAAGCAAAGGTTTGGGAGAGGGAAAGGGCAGACAGGCAACAATGCACAGAAGTTAACAAGGGAAAGGCGGGGGTCGGGGGCGAGGTAAGGAAGTCGTCATCGACGCCGCGCCGCCTCCCCCACCTCGCATCAGACCTCTGAAATTGCCCTCGGAGACCCGGCCTCTCCTATAAGGACGATCATCCTCTCAGCTGCTGAACTAGGCCATGTCTCAGGTCCTTCGCCAGGCGGAAGCAGGAGAGGAAGGCCGACCCCCTAGAGCGCCCCTTCAGGGGGTCCATCCGGCCTTCATCTCAGGTTGTGGGGGGTGTTTGCGGAGGGCGGGGCATCGCCTCAACAGCTGGGGGCCGCATCACGGCAGGAACTGGGTTTTCCTGAGCCACGGAGCTGCAGTTCGCCCCCTCTACTACCCTGGCACCCGGTTACCTCTTTGCCTCTTCGTCGTCCAGCAGCTCTGGCTCGGTCGCCGCCATTACCACATCGCACTCCGCGGCAGCCGCCATCTTACCGCCGGGACCAGAGAGCTGGGTGGGAGGCAGGCGGTGAAGAGCACTTCCGGTCGGAGCATAGAGCAGCTCAGCGGCGCTGCGCCCAGAAGGGCTCCCTCGGGCTAGTCTACCAACGAGAGGCTCCGTTTGGGGCCAGAGCGGCCTCCCGGCCCCGGATGTCCACGGTGGTCTCCGCGCCGGGGCGGGAGCCCAGGGACTTTTCCTGTGCGTAGGCGGCGCCACTTTACCCGTGGGTGGGAAGTGGGGTGTACAGGTGGTGGTAGCCTCTCTAGGGCTTGGCTGTTTTCAGTATTCCAAGAGCCTCGTTGCCATAGCAACTTCCAATCCTAGCGAGTCCCCTGAAAGGCTCCAGGGAGTCTGAGTTGGGTGGGGACCAGGTGACCCCGGACTCTGGAGGAAAAGAGTCCCCACTGCTACCTTTCCGACTTGGAGTATGCCCACGGCTTCTTCCCGGGAAAGGCAAGAGACACTTTGAGCCCAGTTCCCCGAGCTTTCAACGTTCTCTGGAAGCCCTGCCCAACCAAGCCAGGGGAACGCAGGGCGTCTTCACCCTGCGCCTTTCATCCACTCCGGATCGCCAAACACCAGCTGGTTCATCACCCTAATGACGCTGACCCTTTTACGAGGCTGCTTTCATGTCAGCCACCTGGGAGTGCCATCTCAGCATTAAGCCTAGGAAAGCTGACACATGGCGCCCTGCACCCTGCCCTGGAGTTTATAAGGAAGCTCGCGGGGTCAGGTCCCCGCTTCTTGTTTCCCCAGTACTCCCACCTCTCATAGAAACTTTCATCACGCTTGTCTTGCCGAATGCGATCTGGATTGAAAACTCATAGGAGACAAGAGCACAGATTAATTGTCTTTGTTGTCATTCCCTCACCCAAACCTCTATTTGTGGAGCTGAATTAAGTTGGAGCTTTCTGAGGTCAGATTGGAGGAGTATGAGAAGTAGTTTTACAATGTAAAGCTAAGAGTAACTAAAATAAAAAGAGGGCAGAGGAATTTTAAAAGGATTTACCTGTTTTCCTCCACGTACCCTGCCTATCCCAGTGGGGAGGGAGCTGTGTCCTTGTACCCTATGAGTTCTCAATCCAGACCACAGCGACCACTGAGTAGGGAGGGATGGGACAAGCTCACTAGGTTGGAAAGGAGGGGTCATTCGTTTAGCCAATCACTCAGTATCCCTTTCCAAAACGCCTACTCTGCTAGGTTGGGAGGACACAAGATGCACAGACCACCTGCCCTGCCTGCCAGTGGCTCAAAGTTCAGCCTAATGCTAGCCAACCTGTCTTGCCATCTTCCAACTTTATGTTCTATCTAAGGCAACTCATTTATTACCACAGCTTTAATTCCATCTGTTGATGATCTCAACCCTTCATATCTCCAACCTAAACCTTTCTTCAGGTTCCATCGCTGTATATCCAGCGATCTACTGGATATCTCTTGTATGTTTCACAAATCCCCAAGGCTTACCATATTGAAGTTGAACTTTTCATTCTCTACCCACACCTCAACAACAGAAAAAACAAATGCTGTATGTAATTATTATCTTTTCTGAATTTCGTATCTTGTTAAATGGATTAAACCCACTCACCTGGCCACCATATGAGAAGGATGGAAGATATCATGAACTCCTCCCTCTTGGCTTCCAATGTGTTGCCAAGTTTTTGTTGATTCTCCTACCAAATATTTCCCAAATCTGTCTCCACCTTTCCATCCTGATTCAGGCTCTCATCATTTTTTAAAATCTTGGAATAGGCTGGGTGTGGTGGCATGTGTAGTCCCAGCTACTTTGGAGGCTGAAGTAGGAGGATCACTTGAGCCCAGGAGTTTGAGGCTGCAGTGAGCTATGATCACACCAGTGTACTCCAGCATGGAGAAAAGAGCAAGACCTTGTCTCAAAAAAAAAAAAAAAAAAAAAAAAAAAGTGACAACAACAACAAAACAACAGCAAAAACAAAACAAAACAAAAAAACATAAAACTCGGACTACAGAAGTAGTCTCCTAATCGGTCCCTAGTTTTATCTCTGTCCGGTCTTCCCTTTTCTGCCAGAGTGATCTTCCTCAGGGACTGGTGATGTCACTTCATTGGCAGTGGCTTTCCATGACCATCAATTTGATCTCTTTGGCCTGCCACACAAGGCCTTTGATTATCTGTTTTTTGTTTGTTTGTTTGTTTGTTTGTTTGAGACGGAGTTTCGCTCTTGTCACCCAGGCTGGAGTGCAATGGCGCGATCTCGGCTCACCGCAACCTCCGCCTCCTGGGTTCAGGCAATTCTCCTGCCTCAGCCTCCTGAGTAGCTGGGATCACAGACACGCGCCACCATGCCCGGCTAACTTTTTGTATTTTTAGTAGAGGTGGGGTTTCACCATGTTGACCAGGATGGTCTCGATCTGTTGACCTCGTGATCCACCCACCTCGGCCTCCCAAAGTGCTGGGATTACAGGCTTGAGCCACCGCGCCTGGCCCTGTTTATTTTTTTAATGACTTGAGTACCAATATTTAGGTCCTTCCTACCACCAATAATGAACCCAAGTCATCATAGTTCCAGAAAATTCCATGGCTGTAGCCATGTTTCCTCCACCCTAGAATGCCCTTTCCTCCAAGCCCTTCAATGTCCGCTGACCCAAAGTTAAATGCCCCTTTGCTGTGTCCCATAGCACCTTAGTAATTGTTGGTTAGACATCTTGCTTCTCTAGACCGTGAGTTCTGATGGGCAGCCACCATGTCTAACTCGTCCACCTTCTCTCAGTATATGGCCCAGTACCTGGCACAGACAGAAGAGGCTCAGAAAACATTTGACAAATAAGTGGTTGAGTAAACGAAGAGTAACTGTATGCTGATCGCCTTTAGAGAGAGAACATTTGGGTCTCAGAGACACCAGAGCATCTTCCCACGTCCAGGCAGCCTAGAACCTTGCGCTCCCGCGCACACCCAGGCCAGGTCCTGGCAGTCATTCCCCCGCCGGTCTCTGGGGGCGCTGCGCTATCCGCGGCCGCTCTTCGCTGCCGGAATTCGTCTTGCCTGACGGAAGCTGGGGGGGCGGGGCCCGGCGGAGACTACCGGCCCGGGAGGAAGACTGGACTTTTGCGGTGGCGCTGTGCCTCCTCTGGTCCCCGGGAGTTCCGAGGGTCCGGCTGGTGCTGCGGGGGCGCCAGGAGGTACGGAGCTGGGAGGCGAGGCTCGTCGGGCGCTGGGATGGGCCTCCACCTCCGGGCCGCTTTTACTGGCTGGTCTCTGCCTCTCATTCCCTCTGGGGGCTCCCCCGTGGGAAAATCTGTGGTGACGGTCCCTCTGGGCCACTCCTGTGGTGTCCTTTATTGTGGGGCTCACTATATGGAGAGGGGCGTCTGTGTCAGCAGCTTCCCCGGAGAGGTTTCTGTTTGGGACCGTCTTTGGGAGTGATCTGTCTGCTCTCTGGGGGGATCTTTGGAGTTGGGGGGGGCTTGTGTTTGGAAGTTTGCCTTCGGGGAGATATCTATCTGGGACCTCTTAGGGTTTCTGTGTCTGAGCTTTCTCTTCTGGGTCTATCCGTCGAAGAGCAGCAAAAAGTATCTCCTTTCTGAAGCCTTTTCCTTAGATATTTTTCACTCTTTTGTCTTTTTTTTTTTTTTTTTTTGAGACGGAGTTTCGCTCTTGTTACCCAGGCTGGAGTGCAATGTCGCGATCTTGGCTCACCGCAACCTCCGCCTCCTGGGTTCTAGCAATTCTTCTGCCTCAGCCTCCCGAGCAGCTGGGACTACAGGCATGCGCCATCATGCCCAGCTAATTTTTGTATTTTTAGTAGAGACGGGGTCTCACCTTGTTGACCAGGATGGTCTCGATCTTTTGACCTCGTGATCCACCCGCCTTGACTCCCGAAGTGCTGGGATTATAGGCCTGAGCCACCGCGCCCGGCCCCACTCTTTTCTCTCTTGTCTGATGTTCATCTTTTAGTCTTAGACTTGACTAGGGTTTAGAGGGAATTGATTGTTGTCCAGATGAGTCGTACAGGAAAGCAGATTATCTTTTTTTGTTTTCTTTTGAGATGGAGTCTCACTCTGTCACCCAGGCTGGAATGCAGTGGTGCAATCTCGGCTCACTGCAACCTCTGCCTCCCGGGTTCAAGCAGTTCTCCTGCCTCAGCCTCCCAAGTAGCTGGGACTACAGGCGCCTGCCACCACGCCTTGCCAATTTTTTGTATTTTTAGTAGAGATGAGATTTCACTGTGTTGGCCAGGCTGGTCTCGAACTTGTGATCCACCCGCCTCGGGCTCCCAAAGTGCAGGGATTACAAGTACAAGCCAGTGTGCCTGGCCCCAGATTATCCTTTTCATTTACTCACTCCCCCCGCCCCCCCCCACCCCCCACCGGGAGCAGATGGCTTCAGACAGCCACACAAAATACTATTTCTGCTTATTTCTCCATGGGGTCATGGTTAAAGAGAGGAAGCTGGGGCTGGGCGCGGTGGCTCATGCCTGTAATCCAAGCACTTTGGAGGCCAAGGCGGGCAGATCACCTGAGGTCGGGAGTTCCTGACTAGCCTGACCAACATGGTGAAACCCCGTCTTTAAAAAAAAAAAAAAAATAGAAAGCTGGGCTGAGCGCCCTTCACTAATTGGTCCTCTTTACATCTTGTGCACAGAAGGGAACCTGGCCAGTGGCCAGTGACTCTCCTCTCCCTTTATGGCAGCATTTCCAAGCACCTGCCCTGTGCCAGATACTGCCTGTGTAGGGGATAACAAAGACAAAATAACAGTTTGCTGTGATGGCCGGGCTCGGTGGCTCAAGCCTGTAATCCCAGCACTTTGGGAGGCCGAGGCGGTTGGATCACGAGGTCGAGAGATCGAGACCATCTTGGTCAACATAGTGAAACCCCGTCTCTACTAAAAATACAAAAAACTAGCTGGGCGTGGTGGCGCGTGCCTGTAATCCCAGCTACTTAGGAGGCTGAGGCAGGAGAATTGCCTGAGCCCAGGAGGCAGAGGTTGCGGTGAGCCGAGATCGCGCCATTGCACTCCAGCCTGGGTAACGAGAGCGAAACTCCGTCTCAAAAAAAAAAAAAAAAAAACCAGCTTGCCATCCAGTAGTGGACATAGAGACGTTGGTTTCTTCTGACTAGCATTGGGATGGTGCTGAAACCCTGAAACTACACATTCAGTTTAGAATTTGGGCTCTCCAGGAGGCGGAGGTTGCGGTGAGCCGAGATCGCGCCATTGCACTCCAGCCTGGGTAACAAGAGCAAAACTCCGTCTCAAAAAAAAAAAAAAAAAAAAAAAAAAAAGAAAAAGAATT